TTTCATGTGTAAGCTAATTACAAAAGAAAAAGCACTATAGCCACCAGTTTTGTTATAACAATTTTAAAGATGCTTCACCAATAAGTAGTTTTCTACATATATAAAGAAGATATCTCTGCAAAATATTATTTACCTTCCTATGGAGTAACTTCACAGTCTCAGATCTTGAGCCAGGAAAATAAAGTTTATGCTGGTGAAACAACTTGGAGATTCTGACCTCATAATATCCTTTAAAATTATAAAAAGATCTTCCAAAAGGGGAAAGAATATACCTAGCAGGGCCTCCTCTGGCAAACCCATGCCCAGAGGGACTGCCTACAACCTGCAGGACTAGACCAGTGGCAGCAGGCTGAAATCTAGGAGAAGTGACCTACCTTCAGTGCATCTACCTGAGTCACGGAGTTATCAGCAGACTTGTAAGAAAGAAAGAAAACAGTGTAGAGATAAGATTCCTATGAACTAAACACTAGTATTTGGCTGTGATACCAAAGGTGTTGAAGAATAAAACAAATATGTTGATTATCATTCCCAAATGACAGCTCTGCCATTATTACGGAAAACTGCATGTGAGGTTTCTATTCTTAGGAGATTGCAGCTTGAAGACTTTCAAATTAGAATCTTAAAGTGTGATAAGCTCCTTTAAGCAGTAAGTCACAAATAATGAATATAGCACTGAACTAAGAAGATGGGCTTCTAACTCATCTTGGATTATTCGTGGGAGTATCACCATTGAAAGAGATCTTTTTCCTGAGACAGTCATGTTGCAGAGTCACACAAGACAACACAAAATTTCTCCAGTTTTTCCTACAAATAACAAATAGGAAAATCTGATTACAATAATATATTTTATGAGGAAAACATGTTTCTTAAAACTGTGTTTTCCGTTACAGCTATGACTGATGGGAAGTTAAGAACCAAATTTAAGACCTGATCATTTTTGTAAGCAAAGAGAATGTATACATAAGTTAAAATTCTGGTTAGTGTTTAAAAAACTTTTATAGGAAACTCTTTACAAGTGGAGAAACTAAGGCACAGAAACTTAATCATGTTCAGATTCAAGGCTGAATTTAATATTCTAGGTAGAAATAGAATTTAGGGCTCTGGTGCTCAGGGAAATGGGTGATATCTTCCCAAAGAGAAAAATATATTTATTTTGGTGTGTGATATTAATAAGTTGTTTTTGAAATATATAATGTGAATTTTTGGGAAAATCTTTCCCATTTTTAGTTCTATGGAGGCTGAGGTTTCTAGGTATTTTCTCCCCAAAATATAAAATTGAAGGGGAGCTAGCTTTTAAATTAAAATAGGATTAATCTTAATTCCAAAATGACCTGAGTTCATTCTGCATTATTATATAACCAGCAGTACAGAGGCCTCCCCCGCAGCTCACACTTAGGTGCTTCTGTGAAGCTGATATAAGTGGACCCTACTCCACACTTACATAAAGTACAAAATTAAGCAGGATGTCTCAATCTAACTTTTCATAAACTCAACTATTTGAAGATGTCAAACTTATTACAGTGAGATCACATATAGTGGTATGGTCTGAAGTAGCCCAAAATCCAAGTATTTTGTTTATCCAACATGAAAACCTCTTCATACTGAGGAGTGAACTGTGAACTTACAGATCTTATGGACATCTTTCCCCACATGTATGTTTTAATCACAAAACTTTAAGTTTGCATCTGTGAGAGCTCAGGTAAGTGTCTGTAGTCATAATGTAGTAGTACAGTGCATTCCACGTAAGGGTAAAAAATAATTTTCAAGTTTGTTTTTAAAGTGCTCCATGTGCTGTATTGTCAACTTCTACATTATGGGAAGCCATTAGGACTCATAATAATCTTTAGAAAAGATCAGCAGTTAAAGAAAAATGATTTGTTCAAAAAAGGATATATAGATTAAGAGATGCAAAAGCTCTTTAGGGACATTCAAATCCAATGTTTTCGAAAATCCACTAGCAGACAGAAGAGGGATGGCAGAAGTATTTAGAGGAATGTCAGAGTTTCAGAGATTACAAGGTAACTAGTGTGTAAACTCAGAGCAGTTTACATATTTTGGTAACAAGTATTTGTTTAGCAAAACAGGGACAAAAATAAACTAGGTACTAGTTCCTTATCAGAAATGAAACAAATCAAGTTTGCCCAAATACTCAGCAGGTGAATTATAAACATTTTTTAAAGAAATTTCACGGCTAATAGGTTGCTTCATCCCTGTTGTTGTCACCGTCAGCACCAAAATCGTCCCCGCATTCAAAGTATGAATTAATGTCGCCATTTTCCTCTTCTAGCTCTTCTTCGTCGCCATAGTCTTCCTGTTCTGCATCATCATCGTCATCGTCATTGTCATCATCTTCCTTTTCTCTTTGCTTCCTTCTTTCTCTCCTTTTTCCTCATCAGATTTTTCACCATCACCTCTCTTTTCCAATTCCTCAATTTTTTGCAGCACATCTGCAGTATTAACGAGTAAAGAGACTTTGCCTGTACCTTTTGTGTTTTTGGATTTTAGGTCTTTTCTGCATTTTTTCCACAGCATCATCTCTCTTGGGAGTCTTCTCCGATCTGGTATCCATTCTTCTTTGTATGTCTGCATGTATTTTTTGCTATACCTTTCAATATCTGGCTTTTCTTCAGGTTTTCCAATAAAATAAGGCTTTCTTTTCATTGTTTCTCTCAATTCCTGCTTCAAGGCCAGCATGTAATCTTCACTTTCTCCTATTTTCAGTGCCACTGGTTTATAATCTGTATCCTAAGGAAACAGTGGTGGTGGCTTGAACACTACATCAGGCAACTTTTCACCTTTGCCAAAGCCAACAGCCTCAATATTAAAGGTATAGGCAGCACGACCTCTTCCTTTATTCCCAGCCATCAAATTTAGTTGTACCAGAAGAGAGGGCAAACCCTGCTTACTAAGTCTCGAGCCTTGAGCAAGAGCTGTGCGGGGTGCAAGCAGCGAGGCTCGGGGCCACAGGTTGCACCTGGGACACACGCGCACCCTCAAAATAAAATTTTAAGCAAAGTCCTGGGACCCATCTCACAGGTAGAATGCTTGCCTGGCATGCTCAAGAGTCTACGTTCACTCCACACACCAAAGGTGGTGAAATGTTTTTGGTACAACCTGGCACTGTTGTGCTCTCAGTGGAAGGATCATCACAGTGATGACCTGCATTTGCCAAAGGCAGGGAAAGTGGCCTCCAGCCCAACTGTGCACACACGGATCACACTCACCTGCACACACTCCGTATGAACACGAGCCAGGCTCCACGCTGGGCACTAGAGACTCAACAGCAAAAAGTCAGCACAAAGCCCGGCCCCTAAAGCTCACAGGTCTGAGCAGGGCCAGCAAATTAGTCTAAGGCCAAACACTGCCTGCTCCCTGCTTGTGTTCAGCTTGTGAACTAAGAATGGCTGTTACATTTTTAAGTGGTTGGAAAAAATCAAATAATACTATTTCAGGAGAGGGGGAAAGTGCAGGAAAAGTCGGGTTTCAGTAGCCACGAGGGAGGCCTCCGGATCTGGGGGCGGCAGAGGCTTCGCAGGAGAGCAGGTGAGACAGGGGCTGGAGGCAGGGCCACAGCCCGGGAAGGGATCCCGAGTCCAGCGAACACCATGGGAGGGGTCCTGGCTCCCAAGCCGCGGCCACCCACAGAGAGGACGCGCCTGAGAGAAGGCGCAGGAGAGGGAGACAGCTAGGAAACTCGGCCAGAGTCCAGAGGGGGCACCGTGACTGCCAGGACCAGGGCCGGAGGCGATGGAGCTCATGCAGCGGGGCTGGGTTGGGGTTCGCTCTGCAGCAGGGCTGACCGGATGTGGGGCTGATGGGACGCACTCGGTGACTACGGGGTGAGGTCTGTCCAGATGCAGGGGCTGTAAGGGGAATTCTAGTGTAGAAAGGACGTGAGATAGAGACTGTGATAATGCTCACACAAGGTGTGTGGACTCGGCCATTCTCACAAACACGTCTTTATGTTTGCACACTGAATGACTCAGAGTGATTCCCTCTTTTGGGGCCTGGATGGAGGAAAATAAGGCAGGTAGGGCATTTAAGAAAATACTGATTCACAATAACAAATGCCCCATTCGAATGAAAGCCCTCCTGTGACCCCTGTGAGTGAATCCCTGTGCTCTCCCTGGGAAGCGTAGGCACCCACAAGGCCTTAACTGCAAGGTCACCGTGTTCCTGTGCAGTGACAGAAACATAGGCTCAGCCCAGAAAAACTGAAAATGAAACTTGGAAATGAAGTGGAAAAGTTCTGGCTCTTCTTGGTAGGTGACAAAGAACCCCGGTAATTTCACCACATTAAAAGAAGATGAAGCATGGTTACCATCTGTGTAACTTGGCCGAGGGTCCAGTCAATATTTTCAATATTGAAATGGCCAAGGGGAATGGCTTCCATTGTCTTTCTGAGTTTCTCCTTTGCTTAAGCCAACAAAATCAGTTAAAACCCCAATTTGATAAAAACTAGATACTAAGAGATCTGCTTATTTCAATGAACCTCAAGTCCATTATAAACTGGAGGATACTTCATCATTGAATGAAAACCACTGATAAACGTGAAAAGCTTAGCTGGACGTGGTGGTGTACATCTATGATCCTAGATACCCGGGAGGCTGAGACAGGAACATCCAAATTGCCTAGGAAACTTAGCAAGACCTTGTCTCAAAAATTAAGATTCAATCAGTGCTGGGGTTGCAGCTCAGTGCAAAGGTCTGGGGTTCAGTCCCTGTGAGAAACGCTGCACAAGAGACCAGCTTGACACAGGCTTTGTGAGCAAAAGGCTGGTTTATTCTCCACCAGGGGGCAGATGGGCTGAGATCAGGAAAGATGTCAGCAACTGGCCAGAGGGAAGCAAAGTTTCATAGGGCTTGGGGAGGGGGTGCTCTCTTAAGGAATCTGGGTGGAATGCTGTGGTCCAGGTGCCCAGGATGTTCAAGGCAGGTGAGCAGATAACGGAGTCCTTGGCATCGGGAAGATTGCAGTCCTGTCTTCAGTTTTTTTTATGGCCATCTGTGCTGAGAAAAGCATGAACCTTTCATGGTTTCCTGTTGTTTATTGATAACAGCATCTTTGCTCAGAGGGTCTCACTCAGGTCAGGCGTTACAGTCTCCAGTACTACAGAAAAAAAAATAAGAAAGAGAAAAATTAGTGGTGTATGCAAGCAAGCCTCACAGTAGGCTGAGGCAGGAGGATCAAGAGTTTGAGGCCAGCCTGGGCTACACAGTGAGCTCAAGGCCATCTTGCAGTATACTGTAACACCTTGAGTCAAAACAAAAGTAAATTTCACAAACATTGAAAATTACATGAAAGCCATTGGAATAAATTCTGAGTGTGGAAACAAATTACAAGTGTTCAGTGCTTGAGCATTAGAGAATAATTAATGACCAGAACTGGCCCCGTTATATGGGATCGGCTACCACTTAAACACCAGCTGCTCCTATAGGATGTCTGGAGCTTTCTCACAGATGTGCACTAAGTTAGATGTTTAGTTACCCCTGAGAAGCTTTCCTGTAACAGTAACTGTAGTTTGGGGTATTTATTAGGGATGGGGTCTCACTATGCTGTCCAGGTTGCTCTTGATCTCCTGACTCAGGCAATCTTTGCTTCTCAGGCTCCCAGACACTGAACTATAGGTCTGTACCACCTCACCCAGTGGTTAGAAATCATAGCTTTGGGCTCCACAAAGTCATCTCACAGGTAGTTTTCAGGAAAAGTTATCGTTTTCTTGTTTTGTTTTTGTTTTTCTGAGACAAGGTTGTCACTAGGAGGCCCAGGCTGGCCTCAAACTCCTGATCCTCCTGCCTCAGCCTCCTAAATGCTGGGATTGGTAGTGTGCACAGCTGTGCCCGGCTCCAAAGTCGCCCTTCTCGCTGTTTTCGTGGTACTGGGGGTTGAATACAAGGCCTTGACGCTGAGCTACATCCCTGTCCCTTTTTACTTTCATTTTTTCTGAGTCATTTTTTCTCGCTAAGTTGCCCCAGGCTGGGGTCATCCTGGAAGGTGGGGTCCTCCCTAGGCCCCTCCCCTGTCCCTCAGCTCCTCAACGATTCCCTGGCAGCAGCTCTTTGGACTCTGAGACCCTTGACCTCTCCCAGGTGGGCACAGAACTCCACGCAGGCTCAGGACTCACCATGGACTCCAGGGCTCCGCAACCAGCAGGGTAGAAAGGGTCCTTGTGCAGGAAGGAGGCTCAATCCAGGGGGTGGGGATAAGGTCGTGATTGGAGGAAATCAAGGTGTGGGGGTGTCCACAGATTGGTCTCCCACGTCTGATAGGCCCATTAGGCCGGGGGTTGGGCTGAGGGTTGGGCTTAGGGTTTGGCTTAGGTTTGGGCTTGTCAGGCTTAGGGCTGGCCCCCGGTGAAGACCTATTCCTACAGCTCCTGGGCATTGAAGGTCGGGGCCCATTTCTGCCTTGGCGGTTTCCACATTCTGGCATCTGCCCATTCATTGTGTTCAGAAGAAAACAGCTGGCGAGGCTCGGTTCCCCCCCACTGTCAGCCGGGAAGAGCATGGCTTCTGGTGGCGCTGTGCAAAGAACACAGGATGTGGATCCTTGGAAAAGCAAAAAAGTAGATTTATTCTTACAGTCTGCTTATTCTGTTCAAGTTTTGGATATAAGGTCTCATTGTGTAGGGCAGGCTGGCCTTGAATTGGCTGTTTATTCTTTCCTGTGTTCTTAAATTTATGTTTAGAGTCATGGTGAATAAAAGGGTGCTCAAGTCTTAAGCCTCGCCTGGCACCTGTGGTGTGAACGGGGTTGCTGCAATGAGCAGATCCAAGGGCTGGGCGGGCAGGCCCAGGCCAGCACTGAGATATAAATGAATCAGTGAGTTGAAAAACCTCAGTGACCATATTTCTTGAAAAATTCCTGCTATTTCTGTGCATTTAATTACTTCATGTGAGGAAATCATAATTTCTTTGCTTGTGACTTATCTCACAAAAAAATAACGTCCTTAGCTTTATACAAGCTATAGCATGTGGCAGGACTCCTTTCTTTCTTTCTTTTTTTTTTTTTTCCATACTAGGGTTCAAACTCGGGACCTTGTGCTTACAAGGCAGGTGGTGGAAACACTGAACTAAATCCCCGGCCCGGGACTCCTTTCTTTTTAGGGCAGAATAATGCACCATCAAATCCATACACCACATTTCCCTTCAGTAGGCATCTATATTAGTTATTTTTCTCTCATTGCTGAGACAAAATACCCAATACTCAGTGTTAAGGAGGAGAGGTTTACTTAGCTCACAGTTGCAGAGGTTTCAGTCCATAATCGGCTGGCTACAAGGCAGGATGGCAGATGGCAGAGGGGCAACAGTTCATGGGTCGAACACAGCAAAGGCACCGAGGGACAAACACAGCTCTTTCTCTCCCTTTATGTCTTATTGAGACTACTTAGGGCAGGTAGTGGTCATGACAAGGAAATAATGCACAACAGGGCAGGTTTATGTCTGTTGCCAATGTTCCTCCCCCATGTTTTTGGCATAAAATGTTCTGTTAAAGCAATGTAACTGTTTGAGCTGCATGATGTTCCTATCTCATCTATCAAAATGTTCTGTTCAAGCAATGTAACTTTTTGAGTTCCATGATAACCCCACCTAATGTTTTAAGAGTGTTCTGTTAACCCTGCCCTTCCACTTCTATTAGCATGCTCACCCACCATGGGTTTCAAGAATGTTCTGTAAACTCTGCCCATCTGCTTCTATGACAGTGTTTACTCATGGTCCCTTCCCCCGCACCCTGTAGCTCTCTATATAAGGTTGCTTCCATTTCTGTTCAGGGTTCAGACTTTAGAGTACAAACTCCTTGGGTCCGCTGGCATAATAAAACTTGGTTCCCTCCATCTCTTAGAGTGCTGCCTTCAGTTTCTTTGTGCTTTTGGATAACGGTAACAGTTGGTTGTAATACAGAACTGTAATGCTGAGGTGTTGCACTTTGCTCTAACATTTGGTTCCCTCAGTGGGAGAATTCACTGTGCTGGTTAGGAGCAGGGGAGCAGCATTGGGGGCGGATGAGGCAGCACACCCCTGCCCACTTGGAGGGCCCTTCTTCAACATGTGAGGGCACCGACCAGTTGCAGTCTCACCTCTAGCCCAGACTCAGAGGAGAAGTGGACTGGTGCCCCATCAGGACTTCAGGATAAGGTAAAGCCCTGGGGCCCATCCCAAGCCAGGCCTGTCCCTTTAGATGGAAGGGTAGACTGGTCTCAGAATGGAGTCCTCAGTTAGGACTCTTCCCAGGGTGGGAGGAATGTTTAAACTCTGAATGACTTTCTGATTGTGTGAGTGACTGTAACTGGTTCACGGCTTGTGAAGACCTATCTACCCACAGCTTTGGCTACAGAGTCTGAGTGAGCCCTAACTTGTGGTTCCACGGTGTCATCATATGGCATACTGGTGACTCACCTCCTGTAATAGGAGGTTCGTGAAGCCTGGGATTACGGGTACACCTTAGTTAAGATGTGCCTAAGCTCCTGTGAGGGATATGGCCAAGCAGGTGCCTGAGTGGTCTCCTTTGGGGGACTCCCTCCCCTTGTCTGTTGCAGCTCCGTTCAAGGGACACCACATACAACATGGGCAATAAACACAGTAATCCCACTGACTTAGACTGCATGGTCAAAAATTTTAGTGGGGAATATGGAGATAACTTGAAGCCTGCAAGGTTTTGAACCCTCTGTGAAATAGATTGGCCCCAGTTCAATGAAGGGTGGCCCCCTGAAGCAACTCTAGACATCCAGATGTTGTGGATGAGCCTGCCAATAAAACTTAAGGTTCCCTCTATCTCTCTGAGTGCTGCCCTTGGTTTCTTCATCTCCAAAGACCTTCACATAGCTATAATACTTGGCTGTAACACAGAGCTATAACACTCACACCCTTAATCTTGGTGCCCTTGAGACTAGCATTGCACCATGAATCAATCACAAACTCTAGGTTCAGCCACCACAGAAAAAGGTGCATGAGGCTTTGAGGGGCTATCTAGATACAAGCCACAATAGTATCGGAGTTGCTTCCATGTCTGGATGCTGTGAAAAGCGCCAGAGTGAACGTGGGTTTGCATATAATCTCTCTAGATCCAGCTTTTCAAGTCTTTTGGGTACAAAGTCAGAACTGAGATGATTTGTTTTTAAGGAAATTTTACTTTTTCAGCTACCGCAATATTGTGCTCTCTAAAATTTTACATTTCCATCAACAGTACACAAGTGTCTTCATTTCTCCACCTTCTTAAAAACATGAACTTTTTCTTTCTATTTTTTTAAACTTTTTTCTTTCTTTTGGCCTTCTTTTTTTTGGTACTGGGAATCGAACTGGAATCCTTGTGCTTGTGAGGCAGGCGGTGGAACCGCTGAGCTAAATCCCGGGCCCTGGCTTTCTTTGTGGGAGTCGTCATCCCAGTGGATGTGAGTTTGTATTTCCTTATAATGTTGATTTGCATTTTTCTAATGACCAGTGAGGCTGACAATTTTTCCTGTGCTGTTGGTCATTTGTTTATCTTCACAGAAATAGCTATTCCAGTCCTTTGCCCATTCTTTCATAAGGATTATTTGGCTTTTAATTGTTGATTTATAGGGGTTCTTTTTATATTCAGATTTTCCCCCTGTGGTGCTGGGTTTGAATCCAGGGCCTTTGGCCTGAGCTACATCTCCGGCCTTTTTTCATTTCTTATTTAGAATCAGGGCCTTGCTAAACTGCCTAGCTGCCCAGGTTGGGCTGCAGCTTTTGATGCTCTGGTCCCAGCCTCCCAGGTGCTGGGCACACAGGCGTGGACACCACACCCAGCTGTGTTGTGAATACTACATCAGACGCAGCCCTGCTAAGCACCCTCCTCCATTCTCTGGGTAGCTTTCTCACCTGCTTTCCTTCATGTTTGTCCTTTAAGTCTTTTCTGACCACCTGCAGCATAACCTGAACGTTCAGCTCTGGGATGCAGAGCAGAAGCAGAATCTTGGACCAAACTCTGCTTCTGCTCAAAAGCAGCCCCAGAGTCACGGAGACTGGGCTGAAGCCACCCTCTGATCACTCGCTCCAAAATCTGTATTCAACCTTCATTCACCTCAATAACCTCCTGCTTAGCTTTTTCCTCCTTCAGGTCAGCGCTTAGTCACCTCCTCATGTCTGAGACAAATCCCCGACACCCCCAGCTTAAAGGAGGAGAGGTTTACTTCGACTCACAGTTGTAGAAGTCCCAGTTCTTCCGTGGTCAGTGGTTGCCAGGGAGAAGGGCGAGGTGGAAGGGCCTGGGAGGAGGAGAGCTGCTCACAGCAGGGTGGCCAGGAAGCAGGCAGAAGGAGGAGCAGGAGGAAGATAAACCCTTCTAGGCCACGCCCCAGGGACCGCCTCCCGCCAGGCCCCGCCCCCTAACAGCGCATTCGCTGGTGAGGGCTGAATGGGTGGATCCCCTGAGGAGTATACACTTCCCAGGAAGAAGTCACCTCCCCAAAGCCCACCTCTGAACACAGGAGACTTTGGGGGACACCCTGGAAGTAATCCATAACAGGCACCCAGTCTTCTCCAAAATGTTTGAGGCCTCCATGGTCTTTTTTTTTTTTATCTTTCATGAGTTTGAATTTTTTTCTCTGGTACTGAGGATCGAACCTGTTGAATGTGGGCCCTTAGTACTGACATACATCCACACCTGTTTTGTTTTTTATTTCAAGAGAGGGTCTCACTAAGTTGCTAAATTGCCCAGGCTATGAATTACAGCCTGGGCTACATAGTGAGTTCAAGGTCAGCCTAAACCATGTAGCAAGAAACGATGTCAAAAACCACAGAAAAATATCTTTAGAAGGAGACAAGTAAAATCATAATTAAAACTTGAAATAAATTCCCCACCTTGGCTTGCACATGGGATACTCCTGCCTCAGTGCCACAGAGTGCTGGGATTGCTGGCAAGCAGCACCATGCCCAGCATGACTTTGAAATTTCTGAAGAAGATGGAGCAAAGAATTTTCAGAATGTGCCTCTATTGACATCTATCTGGTATTTCCTCATTAACAAAGTAGAAGACAAGGAAAAGCATAACTGAAAATGTGAAATAATGAATTGCCCAAGCTGGTTTTCCACTTCTGTTCCTCCTGCCTCAGCCTCCTAGAATGCAGGGATGACAGGCCTGCACCAGCACACCCAGTATGACTTTGAAGATTTTGAAGAAGACAAGCCACAGCAATTTTAGCATATTCCTCAGTTGAGGTCTCCCTGGTACTTCCCATGATCAGATTCAGGCTATACATTCCTGACAAGATCCTGCAGATGACACTGGGTCCTTCCATGGGGTCACAGAGGGAGGCAGCTGGTCAGATGTGCCTGGTCCTGGGGAGGTTAACACTGACCATGTGGCCAAGGCAGTGTCCTGTGAGGTCCTGCAGTGTGAAGCTGCTCCTTCCTTCTCTGTGGGGGACAGGCATCCCAGGGCAGATGTCTACACACACTGTCCTCATCAGGGGTCATGCCCTAGCTCTTCCCTGTGTTAAGGATTCCCTCTTTCCTGTCTTCTGTATGTGTCAGCTGATATTCTACTCTGAGACAGACAGAGCTTTCTCTTTCTCTGGTTACTTTTTTATTCATATCAACTTTTTGTTTTGAAACAGGGTGTCACTATGCGGTTCAGGCTGACCTTGAACTCACTATGTGGCCCAGGCTGGCCTGGAACTCATGATCCTCCTGCCTCAGCCTCTGAATGCTGGGATCACAAGCGAGGGACGCCACGCCTGGCTCCCAGGCCATATTCCTGTGCTGTGGGAGCAGACACAGCCTCAGGCAGGGGCACTTTGGAGGCTCACTATCAGGCCTGATTGTTTCCAGAGTCCAGATTCCAGGACCCAGGTGGAAGTGCAGCCTGCCCCGTGGGAATCCCAAGGGGACCCATGAGGTCATCTCCAGGCCTGGGGCCGGTTCATCCCGCATCATGCATGTAAGGACTCTGCAGTGAGATCACCCTTGGTGCTCAGCCCATACCTGGGACCTGCAGTGCTGCGGCCTCCACAGCACCTTCAGCCTTTGCACAGGGAGGGCGGTGGTCTGCAGGACATCGTGGAGGCCATTGAGGAGCTCAGGGGGCAGCACCAGCCCATGTTCCTGCTCACGGTCCCAGGGCCTGGACACTGCCTGGTGCCAGACTGGATTCTATGGAACCTCCAAGATCATAGACTTTCCCACTGGTATCACCACTCCCAGCCCAAGCATGGAATGTTTAGGATCTTGTTCTAGCAAAATAGAATATGCCATGCTGGGTGGTCAGAATCTTCTCAAAAATATTCGAAAGTGTTGTGTGTGTTAAAGGCTCAGAGAGGAGAGAGAGCATCCCTCCAGGCCTTGTGAAACCAATCAAGCTGTGTATTTCAGTTGGTGCAAGCGAGCTGAATCCAAGAAGAGAGTTAGCCCTCAGCAAGGGCAGAAGAAAGGCTTTAAATGGGAGGTTGCTCGGGGTTCATCTGGGAAGTAGTTGCTGTTTTAAGGAATTTGGGAGGTAGAGAGAATGTGGTCATGCTTCTGAGAAGGGGCAGTACAGAGGTAATCAAAGTTCCTGGAACCAAAGCATTTGGACATGGTATCTTTGTTCTTCTTTCAGATTTCCTGTTGTGTTGGCTGGGAATGACCTCACCTGTGGTGTGTGACATGGCACACCCCTCTAATCCCAGCACTTAAGAGACTGAGCCTGGCGGAACACTGTACCTTGAGTTTGAGGCCAGCCTTGGCTATAGTGAGTTCAAGGCCAAACTGAACTACATGGCAATATCTTGTGCTAAAAAAAACAAAAAACCTTTCACATGGTCATACCTGCCTTATGCACCTGAGTTCTGTGTGTGTCCACGTATGCTGCTGGGGATTGAACCCAGGACCTAACACATGCTGGCCAAGCACTGTACCACTGAACTCCATCCCTACCCCTTTAAACTTGCAATGCTCCTGCCTCAACCAGACCTGTCTGTCCCTTTAAAACTGCCAAAAAAGACCACAGATACACTGATGATGAAATTCTGTTTGATTTTTTTCTACATAGTGAGACCCTGTTTCAAAAATAATTTATTCCCAGACTCTACTCAATTAGTTCCTTCTGCCTGGAATGCTCTTTTATTCCTTTCCTAGTTTTCTTCCTGAAGTTCCTCTTAGCATGACTGTTATGGTTTGTCTCTAGATATTCTCCCAAAACCTCATTTGGTCATACGTGGGACATTCTCAGAGGCTGATGAATCTGCAGTGTGTGACTGATTCGTGGTGCAATGATTGGATTAAGGGTGCTAGGATTAAAGGTATGTGATAACTAAATCAGTCCAATGATTGCTTTGGTACTGCCCTAATTCCAGTACCCTAGAATATAAAAGGGGCAGGAAAAAAAGGTGCTAAGGGTCCTTGCTTGCTTGCTTTTCTACCTTCTGTCTATCATGAACTGTTTCTCCTCTACAATGTCTGTCTGTCGTGACACTCTGTCTTGATCTGAGCAGATTATAGACTGAGACCACTACAAACAATGAGCTAAATAAACTTTTCCTCCTTTAGCTTTCAGTGTTGAGTATTTTCTCCTTGCACCCAGAAAAGTAACTAAGACAATGACCATTGATCCTAGTGTTACTTTCCATTAGAGGCCTTCTTGGCTCATACCACCACAGGAAAACTTCTGAGGATACCTCTGCTTTGTTTAATTGTGGCCCCTCGGGCTTTCCTTTCATAGCTCTGGATGTTGTTGTAACCATGTAACCATAGTCTGTCTTCCCTGATAGGCAGAGTGGTGGGGACTCAGGAATTCATCATGTCCACATCACCAATGAGGAATCCAAAGCACCGTGGAGGGAAAGCCTCAAGTCCTCATCCATAAAATAGGGGTAAGAACAGGACCTAGTCAGCTGTGCTTGGAGGTGCACACTAGTGATCATGGCACTTGGGAGGCTAAAGCAGAATGATTGGGAATTTAAGGTCAGCCTGGAATAGCTGGTGGGCTCAAGGCCAGCTTGGGTTACATAGTGAGACCCTGTATTGAAACAAATGAAGCACCAAAAAACAAAACAGTAGAGCTGTAGTGAGGACAGAGTGTTTTCATGCATCACAGGGAAAGGGCAGCCTTCACTGGGTGATCTCAACCCTGCCCTATGACTGTTTGAGAGCCAAGGAATGGGACTTGTTAATGATGCCTGTGGGTGTAAGAGACAGGGAGGAGCTAAGGGTGGCTTCAAGGTTTTTGGCTCAGCAAGTACAAGAGGGTTGTAATTGCTACACTAGAAAGGAATGTGAGAGTGAATGATCTTTTGGGGGAGCCTTTTGTGGTCTTTTTAGTCTTATTTTTAGTGCCCTTTTGTCCTTCTTATCAGTTTCTCTATAAAAAGGGTATCCAAAAGTTAATCCTTGTTTTAAGGGAATTAGGAAGAAGGATGGTCTAATTATCTCCTGTATGAATAACCCTCTCTACCTGGCTGGCATTTGCTGATAGGCTTGAGACCTACAAATTCAGTAGAAGCCAGGGGGTGCTTTTTAGTAATTTTGGGCCTCTAATTGGTATCAGGAGTGGTTTAAGGAATGAAAACGAGAAAATGGATTTGAGAGTGATGGATATGATCAATTTTGTTTTCCTTGCCACAAGGTTTTGCTTAGGGTCTCATTGTAACATTCTTGCCCCAGACAATTTTCTTATAGATTCTGTGAAAATTTTTGCCCAGTGGGCAATGCAGAACCTTCTTATAATGGAAGTTTCTAAATGCCAAATGCTTTGATTTGTGGCAGTAGAGTTGAGGGGTTAATGGTAGGGTGAAATTATCTCCCAGCAACAGTTCTCTTGTCTCTCATAGCCATTGGTCTCTCATGTTAGTTCTCCCACAGACATAGCACAAGGAGCTATTTTGGTTTTGGGTTATATTCTCAACCACCTGAGTGAACAGATTCTTAGCTAAGGGAGAAGACTTGGGCAGTCCTTATGGGAGATGTTCATAGAATAAATCAAAAACCCAAAACATGTGAGTCGAGTGGATTAGAGTCTTCTTGATTTATATATATATATATATATATATATTCATTCTTGAGGTTGATGCCCCATAACCAAGGGTTAATATCACAAGGTAACCTGTATCCCATTCAGGCAAGTCTATCTGTAGAACAGTGAAGTTTACAAGAAGATAGACCTGTGTCTGATAGTCTGGTTTGATGGATAATCTTGTGAAGGTGGTAACTTCTTGTCCTGATGTGATCATCTGCACTTTGTGATTTATACTAGGCCAGCCAAAAGTCTAAATTCCAGCAGTACCATGCATCATCTTGTTGTGATGGGGGTTGGGGGACAGTGGTAATGGCTGGTTCCTTTCTGAGGGGTACATAAGAACACAGGAGTGTCCCTATAGTATCTTTCTCATATTAATCTCCCACATGAGGTTGTAGATGGGCTTAGATATGTTGCTTGCTATATATCAAAGTACAAAGAAATGGCCTCTTTATGGTTTGGAGGGATCTCAGTTCTGTTTAAAAGGCCACCTTCACCTGTCTCTTTCTCACTAGCACAGACAACTTTAAACCAGGTTTTGTAAGGGAAGGGGCCTGGGGTCATAACAGATATAGGGCTGGTTAGCTCCTGGGTCTCATTCTGAGTAGGTTCCAAGTTCCCTGGTGCATCCTTGTATACTCAAAATAGGTATGACATAGTAGGGCCTTTGTTATTATGCTTCCCAATTATGTGGTGTAAATGCTGTGGGAGCATCCTTCTAAGGTTTTTCCCCTGACTGAAGCAAGAAGAGAATTCTAATGGAAAAGAAAAATGTACTTGTCATAGCTGCATGACAATCTTCAAGCTTCTGCTGTGCATAGACTGGTCAGCTTCTGGAGTGACCAGGGTAGGGCCATCATTTCCTCAGGCTTCTCCCTTGCATAGACAAGTCAGCTTTCAGGGATGAGTAGAGCAGGGCTGTTGTCTTTGGTAGTAACTTGGTCTCATCAAAAATCAGCCAGTTCAGATGATCTGGATCTTGCTGGCTAGTCCACCAGTCTTGGGCAGCCTGTTTTCGCCAACTGTGGTGGATCCAAGGTACAGTTCTTGCAACTTTAACAGCAGTTGGGGTAGACAAAATTACAGTATGGGTCCCATCCCATATAGGTCTCAGAGTAGCTAAATTTTATTTCTTGACACAAACAGAGTCCCTGAGTTTGAAGGTGTGTATTGGGTCTGTTAGATTTATGGGCATTTTTTTCTTGTATCCAGCCAAGAATATCCTGCATGGGTATTCTAAAACCCTGCATCTGTCTTGTCAGAGACAATTCCCCTAGCTGATAGAGATTACCCTTGATTTGACCTATGATGGGAGGTGGATGACCAAATAGAATTTCATAAGGGGAATACCCAGTTTGTTTGGTGGTGGTGCACTAGATTTGAAAGAGGACTGTGAGTAGGACTTTGTCTCATCTCAAGTGGGTTTCTCGACAATATTTTTTTAGCAGTTATTTGAGTGTCTGGTTCATGAGTTCTACTTTTCCGAGCCCTGTGGTCAGTAAGCCATGTGAAGCTTCTATTTTATCTTTAACTTCTGTGTGAGTTCCTGGACTACCTTGGCTACAAATGTTGGTCAATTGTCTGACCCTAAGGTCATAGGTAGTCCAAATGTTGGGATGATGTCTCAAAACAGCACCTTGGTCACTTCTTGTGCCTTTTTTTGTTTGGGTGGGGAAGGCCTCAACCTATCCTGAGAAGGTACAGACAAGCACTAACATATGTGGATAGCCACCTGCTCAAGAATATTCAGCAAAGTCCATAAGCAAGTTTTCACATGGGGCAGCTCCTATTTCCTGTATACCTGGGGGCTGGGTGGGCCCCTGCCTTGAGTTGTTTTGTGCACAAGTTAAACATTGCTCACAAACAGCCCAAGTGATAGCAGTGAGCCATGGCATGTAGAATTGGTGGCTCAGTAACATTTCTAATGCTATCTTTCTCATATGAGACCCCTGATGGAACTGTTTTATGATCCTGGGTCCCAGCACTCTAGAGATGGTTAACCTCTCATTAACAAACTTCTACCATCCCTCCTTATATACTTTTTAGCTTCTTGGACAAATCAGGCTTTTTCAATTGAAGATTAATTTGGGGTCTCTGAGAAAGGCTCAGGGATGAGGGGCATGGCGAGGGTCTCTCTTTTAGGTTGGGTGGCTGTCATAGTAGCCCTTTTTGCCTTTCTGTCTGCTTTTTGGTTCTCTCTGGCTTCTAATGTTCTAGTCTGTTGATATTCCCTGAAGTATATTATAGGCTCTTTCTCTGGAGCCCATATTGCATCTAGCAATTGTAAAATTTCATCTTTGTACATTTTTTTCTTTCTTCTAGAAGTCAAAAGTCCTCTCTCTTTATATATGCCCCTGTGCACACACAATGTCATAAAGGCATATTTTGAATAGTATAGATGTTAGCTTTCTTATCCTTTGTTAATAAAAGAGCTCTTGTCAAGGCTATGCACTCTGCCTTTTGGGCTGAGATCCTGGTAGGCAGAGGCTGGGCCTCTACCACAGAGACTAATGTCACCACTGGATGTCCTGCCCATCAGACCTCTCCTAGAACAAGGCTGCTTACATCTGTGAAATACTCAACATCTGGGTCTCTGAGAGATTCCCCTGCTTGAAAACACTTTGTCTACTACTTCCATACAGTCATGGAGGGGACTCCCAGTTTGATTGGGAGCAAAGTGGCTGGGTTGAGTATTCATGGTTCTAAGGTTATGTGGTGATTTTCACAAAGGAGCCCTTGATAATGACTCATCCTCAGATTTGATGACCAATGGTGCCCTCTCTGGTCCACTAAGGTCAGCACTGAGTGTGTGTGTTAGTTACTTTTCTCTCGTGGGTGAGACCCAATACCCGACACTCAAAGTTAAAGGGGGAAAGGTTTATTTGGCTTACAGTTTGTAGAGGTTTAGTTCATAATCAGCTCGCTCTAAGGCAGGATAGCACATGGAAGAGGGGCAACAGTTCATGGAAGTGGAAGAAAGCAAAAGCAATGAGAGACCTTAACAGCATCTTTCTGCCCTTTCATCTAAATTAGTGTACTTAGGGCAGGTAGCACTCACACTCTTAATCCTAGTGCCCTTGGGCCTAGCCCCACCATGGCTCAATCACATGCTGTAGATTCAGACACCTCTGAAAAAGCATGAGGCTTTGAGGGGCAATCTAAACACAAGCCATAACAGTGTGGTACTCAAATTGTCAGTTGTTGTCCTCAGGTCAGCTTGTCAGCCTCCTATGGTTGCAGAGTAGTGGCAGCAAGTGCCCTGAAGCATGGAGACCTCCTAGGGCCACAGAATCTAAAAGTCATATTGCAGTTTACCAGTTATGAACTTTTTACAAGGTCAGTCTGGTGGGCCCCAGTAAAAGAAGTGTAACACATTTGTTGTTGGTTCCATTTGTATGACTGCTTGGAGTTTGGCAGCCTCTAGGCAAGAATAAAAAAAATTTTTAAGAAATTGGAGCATGTATAATCTAATCATGTGCACTAGAATGGAAAGACAGGTTGGGGAGAGTCACACTTAGAAACTGAAGCAGTGATTGTAACATGCCAGCTCTTAGACTATTGATGGAGGTTATCTATAAGTCTGATATTTTATCATAAATCTCATAATAGTGGTCTCATAACTGGTGCAGCTGGGAACTGCCAGAAGGGGCCAGTGATTGGAGCCCATTTTTATATCTAACTTTATTACCATGGCATTGCTTTTATACATCTTTTGGTCATTCTTTCCTGCGAGGTATTTAAGACCAAGTTAATGTGAGATCTGTGTCAATCAATATGAACTTCTTGTTATCTATCAAGGTCAGTTAAGTCTTCTCAGGCATAACTTTGGAACTATGTACAGAGCCTCTCAGCTCCTCTGTCAGTGTCAGCCATCAGGATAGGTCATGGCCATGTTTGACCATGTTGTTTTCAGTGAAAGCATGGGAGACTTTCCCCTCTTGGTAAGACTCCTTTGGCACGTGGTACATTTGTTGATTTGGTGTCCAACAATCTCCCTGATCAGGAAGTTGGGTGACTTACCAAAGATATAGGTTCCCTCATGTCCTAGATCTTTGTTAACCTTGGAGGGCCAGGGCCAAAATATTGACAATCCTCTTAGCCAAGTTGCCTTTCTAGTTTTGGTCTCCAAACTTTAGTTGTTGAACACCCAGAAGAGAGCAGTAACATTAGCATTGAGGTGAGAGCAGTGAGCTTAACTATAATTTTACCTGAATATCAAGCACTTTGAAATATAAAGTATAGAGGACTGTTATTTTTATCAATCATCATTGTTTTAAAAGTTGAATCCCTGTAGAATCTTCACAACAGCAGTTATATATTATATGGAGAAACTTAAGATTAAGAGCCACACACAATATTTTAGCATGACAATCAAGATGACATTATCCTTGTAACACATTTAAATGTCCATCTTAGTATGGAATAGTCTTTTAGTCAAACATCTCCATCTGATCACAAGACATTAAATGAGACAAAGAAAACTCTTATTTAATTTGTTATCCTTTAATAGGATGTCATTTAAAGAGAATGTACATATCAGCCTATAAATGTACCTTAGAAGTTTATAATATCTAGCATCGAATTTTAGTGTGTCACATTGTTTGGACTGTTTGGTGTCAGAGCACCCCTAAGTGTTGTGACATATATAACATATACATCATATAAGTTTTTAAGAAAAACTATTATTTTGCTGGTTATCTCATGCAAGCTTGACATGTACCTGTTATCGCAAGTAGCTGGAGCACAAGAGAAAGGCAGATACCTGAGTCAAAAAAGATTATTACCGTTATGAATTTTAAAAGATTATTTCCATAAACAATATCTATGAAGACTTGTACACCCAGAAGTCATGAATTTATTTAGTACACCATGAAATAACAATGAGTATCACAGTTGTAGGAAACCCTTTGTCCCTTAATTTAGTTTTATACCAAGAGCATTTTAAATAAAATTTTATTGCTTTCCCACAGAAAAGTCTCTTGACCATGACAACGTAAATGTATCACAATAATATGTTTAGCAATGTTTATTGGGGTATATGTCCCATAAAGCTATGGAAATTACTGAGCTCCCCTTTGTGAACAAGGGCTGGAACAAATATTTCCAGGCAGCTGCTCCTTTATGTGTCTCAATTGTTTTTCTATGCTGAGGGCCCAGCTTTGTGTAAGTGCCTTATAGTAATTTCTAACTAACCTAGCTATCTGCAATAAAAGCACCCAGAATCTGAAAACTAACAACTCAGAGATCAAAGTGGCTGAATGAAGGGCATAAGGAACCACAAGGAAAGGGATAGAGAAAAAGAAGAAAGTAGGATCCATTACTACAAAAGAAATCACTCACTGATGCAGAGGGAGCCTGTGTGGTGGGGCAGCTGTACTCTGAGGTGTAGCAGCAAAAGTAATTTCACTGTATGCTGAGAAACAGAAATCAGACTTGGATCAAAAGAATTTTATGTAATCAGAGACAGCAGTGAGAATAAGAGCAACTGCTTTCCAAGGTGACCCCTCCCAGAGTCAACATTTGGTAAGTGAGGGGGGAATGGAGCCCCCACACAGTCATGCGTGGTACAGAGTGGGTGGGGGCAGCCATCTTGTTACAAAAAAAACCTCAGGGCTTTCTCTCCAAATAGCCCCAGGGCCTCACTGCCAACAGCCAGAGTGAAAGAAGGAAGAGCTCCCTCACAGGCAACTGGACCATAGACTGAGTAAAGATGCTGAAAAGCCAAAGTGGAGACCAGCACTATACAGAATAGCAGTAGCCACTAAGGACTAGAGGTGCCCCCCACACAACCACTGAACTAGTCAGTGGAGAAGAACTGAGGAAGGAGCAGGATCCCAGAGGGACAGAGAGTGCAGCGACCTGGAAGCAGCCTCAGGCTTGGCTCCACCAAAGAATGCCAAAACAGCTAAGAGAGCACCGTGGAAACAGCCTCGGTGGGGAAATGTGTGCAAGCCACCTGAGGAATTTTATTATATTCCTTTTTCTTTGACTCCTGGATTTGTTTTCTGTTATCTGTCTGGTTTTGCATTTTATATTTTTATTGGGGGGTGTTAGTTTTGTTTTTTATTGTTGCTATTGTTTTTTACGTGTCAGTGTGTGTGAATGTCTGTGATTGTTTAGGTTTTTTTACCTTAAGTTTTGTTCTGTTTTATTCATCCTCTCTCTCTCTCTTTCCCAAGGTATCTTTCTTGATTCTATGATATTTTCATATGAGTGAACAGTGTCTCCTGTCTTTCTGGTTCACCTCAATATTCTTTTGCTTTCTCCTGCAGTCTTTTTCTCTTGCCCTTTTCTCCAGTCTCCCAAAACCTGGGTATTCATTCTGTGCCCTCGAGCCTTGCTGCTACTATTCTTCTTTTCACTTATATCTCTGTATTGTCCCCTATCTCTCTCAAATTCCCTCCTACAGGGTATAACCACTGTACTAGGGTGATTTATGTTGGATTGGATATTATTGCATACAAATGCCTGGTTTATATTGGATTTTGTTATAAAAAGTAGAGCTTGCTTATATTGTTAAAGGTACCAAACTAACAGATACCACAGTATGTCAGCTGCTACCTGTGCTGGATGTTACTCTTAATGATAACTGTATTACTTTAGCAAGGATGTCATACCTGTTGTAACCAGAAGTTCTCCTTTAAATGCCAACATTGTGATTGTCTGAGGTCACAACCATCAACTTAGTCCAATATCAAAGGACTGGGTGCTGAGCTAAATAGATACCAACCATGCATCCTTAACAAATTAGGAAGGTAGAATCTCCAGATAGACACAAAAACCAAGAACCACCTGCTGAGAAGACATCCTTGAGGAATAGACACTCCCTAGAGAAACATCAATATAAGTAATAAAGCTATATACCATAAGAAACCTACAAGCAACATCTCAGAAAACAAAATGAAACAAAAAACTAGAAAATGAAAAGACACAGAAGCAAAATACAACCTCAGACAGCCAGCCCACCAAGGATAAGTCCAGGGGACAATGAGATAGAGGGAAATGGAAGCCACTCACTGGATCTTTCTGAATTGATGACTGCAGAGTTGAAAAAACAAATAGATGAGGCTATAGAGAAAATAATCTTCCAGGTAATAAAAGAGATGGCATTAAAATGAAGGACATGCTCAATGAACCTAGAGTATGTACAGATAAAAAAAAACAGAACAGCTTAGGAATACGATGGAAACCATGAACACCCAACATAGAAAAAAAAGGAACGCATGAAACAGATTCAAACAGATATTCAGGAAATTAAAAACTCCATAGGAAGTATTTGTAATTGTTTGAACCAAAATGAGGGAAACAGGCTTTGTGTGAGCAAAAGGTTGGTTTATTCTCCACCAGGGTGAAAATGGGCTGAGATCAAAAAAGATGTCAGCAACTGGCTGGAGAAGAAGCAAAGTTTATAGGACTTGGCGAGGGGTGGTGTCTTAAGGAATCTGGGGGGAATGCTGTGGTCAGGGATCTCGGGACGGTCAGGGCAGGTATGCAGGTAACACTGAACTTCTCTGCAGTGGGGAGATTGCATATCCTATCCTCAATTTTCTTTATGGCCATCTGTTCTGAGGACAGCATGGACCTTTAGTGGTTTCCTGTTGTTTGCTGAAGACAGCATGTTTGCTGAGAAGGTCTCACTCAGGTCAGGCATGACAGTCCCCAGTACTACAAAAAAGAAAGAGAGAAAGAAAGAAAGAAAGAGAGAGAGAAAAATTAGTTGTGCATCCAAGCAAGCCTCACACTTAGCAAGCTGAGGCAGGAGGATCATGAGTTTGAGGCCAGCCCTCGATACACAGTGAGCTCAAGGCCATCCTACAGTATACTGTAACACCCTGACTCAAAAGAAAATTACACAAATATTGAATATTACACAAAGCCATCTGAATAAATTCCAAGTGTTGAAAAACTTACAAGTGTTCAGTGCTTGAGCATTAGAGAATAATTAATGACCAGCACTGGCCATTATATGAGATTGGTTACCACCTAAACAGCAGCTGTTCCTATAGATGTCTGGAGCTTTCTCACAGATGTGCACTAAGTTAGATGTTTAGTTGCCCCTGAGAAGCTTTCCTGTAACAGTAACTGTGGTTTGGGGTATTTATTAGGGATGGGGTCTCACTATGCTGTCCAGGTTGCTCTTGAACTCCTGACTCAGGCAATCTTTGCTTCTCAGGCTCCCAGACACTGAACTACAGGTCTGCACCACCTCATCCAGTGGTTAGAAATCATAGCTTTGGGTTCTACAAAGTCATCTCACAGGCAGTTTTCAGGAAAAGTTATCGTTTTCTTGTTTTGTTTTTGTTTTTCTGAGACAAGGTTGTCACTAGGAGGCCCAGGCTGGCCTCAAACTCCTGATCCTCCTGCCTCAGCCTCCTAAATGCTGAGATTGGTAGTGTGCACAGCTGTGCCCGGCTCCAAAGTCGCCCTTCTCGCTGTTTTCGTGGTACTGGGGGTTGAATACAAGGCCTTGACGCTGAGCTACATCCCTGTCCCTTTTTACTTTCATTTTTTCTGAGTCATTTTTTCTCGCTAAGTTGCCCCAGGCTGGGGTCATCCTGGAAGGTGGGGTCCTCCCTAGGCCCCTCCCCTGTCCCTCAGCTCCTCAACGATTCCCTGGCAGCAGCTCTTTGGACTCTGAGACCCTTGACCTCTCCCAGGTGGGCACAGAACTCCGCGCAGGCTCAGGACTCACCGTGGACTCCAGGGCTCTGCAGGCATTCAGGGGAAAGGGGTGGGGATGCAGGAAGGAGGCTCAGCCCAGGGGGAAACCAAGGTGTGGGTGAGGGGGGCACAGCTCAGTTGTTGAGTAGGCCCGGTAGGCTGACGAGGACGGTTGTACCTACGCTTGGGCCTAGGGCTCAACGGGGAGGTGGGCTGGGTACTGGGCCGGGAGCTGAACCTAGGGCTGGAACTGGGGCTGGGCCTGGGGCTTTGCCCAGGGCTGGGTCTAGGGCTGGGCCGAGATGATGGCCCATTGCTGGACCTCCTGGGAGTCGAAGGCCGGGGCTCATTTCTGCCTTGGCGGTTTCCACATTCACGCATCAGCCCGTTCACTGCGTCCGGGAGAAAACAGCTGGCGAGGCTCGGTTCCCCCCCACTCTCCGCCGGGAAGAGCATGGCTTCGGGCGGCCCTGCGCAGAGAACGCAGATGTGGATCCTCGGAAAGTTACGCAAGTAGATTTATTCTTACATTGTGCTTATTCTGTTGATTTTTGGAGACCTGGTCTCACTGTGTAGTGCAGGCTGGCCTTGAATTGGCTGTTTATTCTTTTCTATGTCCTTAAATTTATTTTTAGAGTCACTGTGACTGTTACAGAGGTGCATCTTAGCCCTAACCACGTGGTTCCCGCGGTGTGGATGGGGACGCCTCTGGAAGCAGGCAGCAGCAGGGCAGGGGCCGGCGGGCCAGCACGAGATAGAAATAAATCAGTGAGTTGACAGCTCTTAGCCTCTGTGTGGCCCGTGTCTAGATGTCCTCCCAAAGTCTCATGCACCTCTCTCCCCTCTTTTTCGGAGGTGGCTGAATCTGGAATGTGTGATGCTGGGACTCAGGGCCTGTGATTACTAAACCATTAAACCACCCCGTGTGAGGAAAAACTGGAGGCCGGTGCTTACCTTGCATGTGTGAGGTCCTGGGTTCCAATCCTGGTGTTATTAAAAAAAAAAGCATTAATCAATATTTTCCTCCTTAGTGTTTACTGTTATTTCCTACATAATTCTTTTTCCATATTTCATAACTTACAATCTCATGTAAAACTCTCACCATAACAACATTAATACAGTTAAAGGCACGACTGCATAGATTTTATTCTTCTTCCTTTTTTTTTTTTTTTAGCAGTACCAAACCCTGCAGCTCTCTACTATTACAGGACTCCAGGTCTTGTCCAAGTTCTCGATATCCTGAACAAACAATTGAGGATGCCAAAAAGCATCAACAGGATCAAAGATTGATGCTCATTTTTCAGACAGGGTGTCGCTATGTGGCCCAGGCTGGCCTTGAACTTGCAGTGATCCTCCTGCCTCACGGACCATTCATTTAAAGATTAGTTACAAATATTGAGTCTGTCTGGTTCCTTAACCCATTTCCTAGTTGAGCTGAGAATGCTCACCAGTGGCGCTGTGGCCACAACATTTACCCCAGGATAACTGTGGATCACAATCCCAACCTTACCTCCAAAGTGTGGCACAAAATGTGTCGCTTTTATTGTTATTTTCCCATTGCTCTAGTGTATCTGCCATCTTTGGAAACAAAAGACCCCACTGTACATATAAAATTCTGTATTTCAATTCACAAAATATAGTTAGAATGTGACCATTGAGAATTTAATGAATGCAGGTAGTGAGCTGCAATTTTTTTTCTAAAGGTGAAATTTAAGTCAATGAGTGTGGTGAAGGACAGATCTCCACCCCCTGAAGAGTAGCCAATGGCCAGGTGTCCCTGAAGTGTCTCAGGTGACAGTTGTCCTCAGGTGATGCACAAAACCCATATTCCAGCAAAAGTCCAACCAAGTCAGATTAAAGATGGGGGATGAATGTAATATAGAACAAAATGCAAAATGGTTCTGCCAGGAGTGGGACCAGAGGAGAAAATCAGAATGCTCACAGCAGCACTACCTACAGTAAAGAAGGAAAAGTTAAATGTGTCCATGCATGCACGTGTGAGTCAGTTTTCCCATTGCTGGGACACAATATTCGACTCCCATGACTTAAAGGGGGAGAGGTCACTTGGCTCACAGTTTTGAGGTATTCAGTCCATGGCTGGCTGCTCTAAGGCAGGAGCATCATGGTGGAGGGTGTGGCATAAGACAGCAACTCAGTTCATGGTAGTGAAAAGCAGAGCAAGGATCAGTGGCAGAGTGAACTGGGGAGGGACAGATATAGACCCAAGTTCACACCTGCATGGCCCACCCAGATGTGAGTTTTACTAATCTCCTGGGACACTACCAAGCTGATCATCTTTCCCTATCACAATACTTTTCAGGAGAAAGCTACTGACTATTCACTTTGGATAAAGACAGTGTGCTAACCTAAGATGAAGATACTGCTGAGCCAGTTGAGTGGCACATGCCATAATCCCAGCTACTCAGGAAGCTGAGGCAGGTAGATTACAAGTTTGAGACACCTTGGGCAATTTAGTGAGATGCTGTCTCAAAGTACAAAATCAGAAAGACTTGTAGATAATACTCAGTGCAAAGAACCTGTGTTCAACCCTATGTAAAGCACCTACACCACACACACGCGCACACGTGCACACACACACACACACACACACACACCTCTCTGAAGACAAATAAACCAAACTTGATGATTTGCTATTCTTCTTTTATGACTATCAACAGAAACTTTATTTCTTATTGATTCCAGGAACAACTGACCGATAGGTGGTATGAAAAAGGAAATGAGGGGCAGAGGGAGAAAGAATCCTATAAAAAGGAAGGGCCAGACTGGGGAAGATGAGAAACATGGACAGGGCACAGGGGAATACTGAATGAAGAGCCGACTGCATGGGGCACCAAATCCAAAATTAGCCCCAGGTGATGGAATGAGTGTTACCTAGCTCTCATGGGTAGGTGAGAGGGAGTCAGTAACACTTAGGGCTATGGGATACTGGGCTTCTGTCAGGAAATTGGGGCTCAGGGCTCAGGCTTCAGGGTGAAGCATGGGGAGCCCAGTCAGGCTGGGTGCAAGAGGAGTGCCCAGGCCCCTCCCTGGGCTTCTCCTTTTGGGGGCACCTCACTGACAAGGCAGAGACATTCACTGGAGTCTGGCTGCAGGTTCTCAGCCTGTCCCTTAGACACACCACCCCAGGCCGAAAAGTTCCCATGGTATTCAGTGGCCAGATCCTCTGGGTTCTTGAGGGTGGAAATCGAGGCACTGTCCGTTCAGGCAGCAATACACAAAGAAGAGGCTAATAATCAATCCCTTGGAGGCAACAAGGACAAGCACAGCTTTTGCTATAAACAACCCTGGATTCTCCTTGGAAGCATTGCTTCCCCAGTGGACTGTGTGGCTCCATTCACTCCAATGCTGAGCACTTCCGTAGAGTGGGTTAAAGCGGCTCCGAACCCGGAACATGTACAGTTCCTACCCATCCACACTAGGAAGGGAGAAGCTCTGTTTGTGATCCACTTGTTGTTCAGTCCAGCTGGTATCCCTGTCTCTCTGATACTGCACCAAATGCTGCAAACAGCAACCCCAGGGGTATCTGTTGTTCCAGCTCAGTTCTAGGTGGTATTCGCTTAGGTTTCGAAGTGTTAGTTTCTCCAGAGCCCAAGGGATCACCAGGTCCTGCAGTTTTAGCTTCTGTTCCATCTGCCTCCTGGGTTCTCGTGGATCCTGGAGCCTGACAATGAATGTTTCATAGAGATGGATCTCGTTTTCTGGCAGCCAACAGCCGGAAGTGATCTCTTTTGAGAACAGATAGTGACCACACTCCTGGACCTTATCAGAGTTCTTGTACCCATATAGCAGAGTCAGGTTGGTAGGCTGGGGCTCAGAGCTTCTCTTCCAAGTGCAATTCATATACTCCCCATTGAATACAAAGCACTGAACCTCTGGGAGTGGCAGGGTGGAAATGTTGAGAGACCCAGGGGTCTCAGAGGTCAAGAAGGAATCAGCTGTGGTGTCTTCATTCCCACTGGGCTTGAGGACCATCGAGTTCAGCCCCAGCCCCAGCATACGTAGCTGCAGGAGGAAGAGGGATCGCAGTGGCAGTGAGGGCTTCAACCTGGCACTTGCTCTTTGTTCCATGCTTTGCTTTCTTAAGTGCTCTGATCACGTTGTTCAGTTGCGGAAGCAAAGAGGTGGGGCCTGAAATCCATCTGGTGGTGCGGATGTGGGAAGGTTTCTGGGAGATGCAAAGTCCTAGTGAGAGAGCAGCAAGTCTGAAGCCAGAGGAGGAGGAGGAGCCCGAGGTCAGGCTGAGGAGAGCAGCAGAATCAGTGAGTCAGCAAGCCAGGCAGCAAGACTGCTCCTCAGAGTCTCCAGGCCTGAGACTCCAGGAACAGGGAGAGTGTGCAGCTTTGCCCTCTGATTATGGACAAAAACTGCAGAGGGGACCAAGGAACCATGTGCTCCAGGCAGGCATGGTGGCCCACACCTGTAATCCCAGCACTCTGGGAGGCTGAGGCAGGAGGATGGAAGTTTCAGCCCCATTTTCACAACTCAGCTACTTAGCAAGACCCTATCTGAAACTAAACATTTTTAAAAATATCAAGGGTGTATGTAGCTCAGTGTGAAGGCCCTGTGTTCAAGCCAAAGTATCAAAAACAAGACAAAAAATGTGCAAATAATACAAACATTATACTGAAATTCTTTCATTTGGCCAGGATGGTGGCAGACACTTTTAATACCAGCCCTTGGCAGGCTGAGGCAGGAGGATCACTGCAAGTACAAGAGCAGCTTGTGCTCCAGAGCGAGGTCACAGCGACCTGAACCACACAGAAGGCACAGCCTCAAAAACAATAAGAATGCTGGACTTTCATGCACTCCTACCTGTCTTTCCCACACAGTTTTTTTATTTGTGCTGCTCCTGGGGATTGAACCCAGACCTCACACATGCGAGGCAAGTGCTCTCCCACTGAACTACATCTGCAGCCCTTGTTCAGAATTTTATGTGGAGACATTATCTCATCAAGTGGCCCAGGCTGTCCTGGAACCTGCAGGTCTCTATCCTTAGCCAGAGCTCTCTTTCCCTTTGACTCTGCCAAGACAGCCCACAGCATCCCTAGTCATGAACCCCTCTTTCTTTTTATCTTCCTATATCGTTCACTCTGGCCTTGAACATAGTGTGTAGCCCAGGCTGGTCTCAAACTCATGGCGATCCTCCTGCCTCGGCCTATGGAGTATTGGGATTACAGGAGCGAACCAGTGTACCCAGCTAATTCCTGTTTCTTTGGCTGAGAACACAGAAGATATTGGGAGCAAGGCGGCTGCAGAGAACAGGCACAGGAAGAGCACCCTTGGGCTGCCTTGTCCCTCTCTGTCTTGAGGGGACAAGTGGCCAAAGCTGCTGGTTAGGTCACTGTGCCTCCATGCTGCTTGGAGTTTTCACTCTGAAATAATTTCACATTCACAGAAAAGTTCCAACACAAGCACAACTGTGTCGATTCAACAACAGGCACCTTTTGCTGTCCTGCTTTTTCTGTTTGTCATATGTTCTTTGTTTTGATACAGGTCCGTGGTGAGTTGCCCAGGCTGGACTTGAATTCAAGATGTTCCTGGCTCCCTCAGGAGGACCTGGGCTGACAGGCAGAGGCCACTGCTCCATGCTGCTCTGTCATGTTTTCTATCCTTCTCTCTTTACTCTAATCACAAAGGAATCATTCAAGGGTGAGTCTTAGAATGCATATCTGTTTGACACTGAATACATCAGTGTGAAAGCCTAGGCATGAAAATATTCTCTTGTGCATAAACAGTATAATGATCAAAGGCAGAAAATACAGCATGAACACAGTACCATTAGGGGACCCAGGATCTGCATTTCAACTTTAGCCACCTGAGTAACATCCTGCTTAGTTTTTATCTCACTTTAGGGCAGCGTCTTAGTCACTTCCTCATATCTGAGATACGATCACGGACACCCCCAGCTTAAAGGAGTGGAGGTTTCTTTTGACTCACAGGTTTAGAAGTCCAGGTCCTTGCGTGGTCAGTGTTTCCCAGGGAGAAGGGCGAGGTGGAAGGGCCTGGGAGGAGGAGAGCTGCTCACAGCAGGTTGGCCAGGAAACGGAGAGAAGGAGGAGCAGGAGGAAGATAAACCCTTCCAGGCCACGCCCCAGGGACCGCCTCCCGCCAGGCCCCGCCCCTAACAGCGCATTCGCTGGTGAGGGCTGAATGGGTGGATCCCCTGAGGAGTATACGCTTCCCAGGAAGAAGTCACCTCCCCAAAGCCCTGCCTGTGAACATAGGAGAGTTTAGGGGGACACCCTGGAAGTAATCCATAACAGGCACCCAGTCTTCTCCAAATTGTGTGAGGCCTCCATGGTCTTTATGGGTTTTCCCATACCGAGGATCAAACCTATTGAAGGCGGGCCCTTAGCCCTGACCTACATACAAACCTCTTCTTATTTTTTACTTTGAGAGAGGATCTCACTCAGTTGCTAAATTGCCCAGGCTATGAATTATAGCCTGGGCTACATAGTGAGCTCAAGGTCAGCCTAAACCAGTAGCAAGAACCTATGTCAAAAACTATAGAAACATATTTTTAGAAGACACAAGGAAAATCATAGCTAAATATTAAAATAATTTCCCCCAGCTTGGCTTGAACATGGGATACTCCTGCCTCAGCCTCCAAGAGTGCTAGGATTGCTGGCAAGCAGCACCATGCCCAGCATGACTTTGAAATTTTTGAAAAAGTCAGGCCAGAGAATTTTAAGTGTGCCTCCATTGACAGCAACCTGGTATTTCTGCATTAAAAAAAAGAGGAAGGAGGAGGAGGAGGAGGAGGAGGAGGAGGAGGAGGACAAGGAACATGCCCAGCATGACTTTGAAATTTTTGAAAAAGTCAGGCCAGAGAATTTTAAGTGTGCCTCCATTGACAGCAACCTGGTATTTCTGCATTAAAAAAAAGAGGAAGGAGGAGGAGGAGGAGGAGGAGGAGGAGGAAGAAGACAAGGAAAATCCTAGCTAAAAATTTGAAAAAATTAATTTCCTAGACTGGTTTTCCTCTTCTGTTCCTCCTGCCTCAGCCTCCTAGAATGCAGGGATGACAGGCTGCACCAGCACACCCAGCATGACTTTGAAGATTTTGAAGAAGACAAGCCACAGCAATTTTAGCATATTCCTCAGTTGAGGTCTCCCTGGTACTTCCCATGATCAGATTCAGGCTGTACGTTCCTGACAAGCTCCTGCAGATGACACTGAGTCCTTCCATGGGGTCACAGAGGGAGGCAGCTGGTCAGATGTGCCTGGTCCTGGGGAGATTAACGCTGACCACGTGGCCAAGGCAGTGTCCTGTGAGGTCCCGCAGTGTGAAGCTGCTCCTTCCTTCTCTGTGGGGGACAGGCATCCCAGGGCAGATGTCTACACACACGGTCCTCATCAGAGGTCATGCCCTAGCTCTTCCCTGTATTAAGGATTCCCTCTTTCCTGTCTTCTGTACGTGTCAGCTGATATTCTACTCTGAGACAGACAGAGCTTTCTCTTTCCCTGTTACTTCTTTATTCATATCAGCCTTTTGTTTCGATGTTGTGAGACAGACTCTCACCATGCAGTTCAGGCTGACCCTGACCTCACTATGTGGTCCGGGCTGGCCTAGAACTCATGATCCTCCTGCCTCAGCCTCTGAATGCTGGGATCACAAGCGAGGGCCACCATGCCTGGCTCCCAGGTCATATTCCTGTGCTGTGGGACAGACACAGCCTCAGGCAGGGGCACTGTGGAGGCTCCGTATCAGGCCTGCTTGCTCCCAGAGTCCAGATTCCAGGACCCAGGTGCAGCCCGCCCCATGGGAATCCCAATGGGACCCATGAGGTCTTCTCCAGGCCTGGGCCTGGTTCATCCCACATTGTGCATGTGAGGACTCTGCAGTGAGATCGCCCTTGGTGCTCAGCCCATCCCTGGGACCTGCAGTGGTGCGGGCTTCACAGCACCTTCAGCCTTGGCATGGGGAGGGCAGTGGTCTGCAGGACGTTGTGGAGGCCGTCGAGGAGCTCAGGGGGCAGCACCAGCATCACATTCCCGCTCAGGGTCCCAGGGCCTGGACACTGCCAGGAGCCTCCTCATTAGCACGCATTTCGTTTCTAGAAGACAATACATCTCCTAGATACAAACATGTGAATTTACCCCAGGGCCAAAATAGATGAAGACCAAACCACAATAAAAATTCTGCTACAATGACATCCTGATTTTCAGCACTAAGCAGACAGGTCTCTAGATGTAAAATAGTTTTGATTTGCCAAGTCCTGATTGCATTAACCAGATAGCGGTGCCTAAGCATGTGGGAGCCAGGTAAGAGCAATCTGAAAGCTCACCAGCAAACAAGTTGGTTAGGCTCCTGAACATAAAGGGTGAAGCTGAAAGTATAAGAATAAAGGTTTGGAAAATACTGGAACCTATAAAATCTCAACTGTGATGGTGTGTAGTGGACATTACCATGCTATGCTGATTTTCTCTGCACCTTCCCCTCTCACTGCAGCTCTGCCTTCTGGGTAGAATT